GGCCCCTCAGTGATTAAACGCAGCAATCAGTAATCAAAACACACAGACCCTGTTTTTGGATGGCAAGGCCCTTAGTGCCCACCCTGACACCAGCGAGGCAAACCAGGAATGCCTGCTGCAGTGCCCATGGCTGCCTGCTGGGGGGATGGGGAATAGTAGCCACTATGCAAAATGCCAAAATTCACCAGCCTTTTCAAACTCTTTGGAAGTTGCAAGTGTTGGACTAGAGGGCAGAGTTCCAAAAGAGTTTATTCTGACCATTTCTGCCAGCTCAATAGTTGTTTGGGTGGAGGGACAGATTCCTGGAGCTTCCTACTTTACCGTCTTTCATGATGTCCCCTCCTGGTATAACTTATTGTGAACTAAGACTTTCTCTTGAACTTTGCTGTAATATGCATCATTGTCTCTTCACCTACTTCAGTAAATCTTGAAACCACGTCCTGCTGCTTGTTATTTTTGTATTTTGTTTTTAATTAATATTCCATGTGCCAGCACTATAGAGAAGATGGGTCACAGGGACATGTCTCCCAGTTTCCACTCATTGAAGCTTTCCATTTAACACATTCCTAGGGTTTGACATACAGGATATAAGATTAGGTGTAGAATTTGGACTAGGGGTTGAACAGTCCCAAATTCTGCTGGACGGCTCAGTTTAGGAGAGAAGGGAACCATTACAGTTGGGTTAGCTGAGGAACAGTGGAGCCAGGGCTTTGGAAGGAAGGACAATGGCTGGAGTGGACCTCAGAGACTGAAGCAGGGGCTGAAGTCCTTGAGGAAGATGAGTGCCCTGAGCTCTGGGTTCTGAAAGTACATTGGAATTTAGGGAGATGGCTTATGAGATACGGCTAGCTTTGGGAGAACTCTGGGTGTGTGGTCAGGGAAATGCCAGATATGGGTTTTTTTTTTTTTTTGGTTTTTTTTTTAACCACAAGGTGGTTTTGGCCTTTTGGGGATGACCTTCAGTAGCAATACTTGTAATGATGTGCTAAGCATGCATACGCATCACCACGCTCCGGAGTACGTGTTTCCATTTTTTTAGGACTGACCTGGAAGTTGCTCAGTCAACACTTAGGGACAAGGAATGAGGTCAGGGGTGGTTTTTCCTAGTGGTCATGTCAGTTTGCACGAGGAATGGCTCACACAGTCCCCTTTCCCCCCGTGGCTACAACTGTCATGTCACCAGGATGCCCAACTAGGCCCACATTGGGAGGTAGCCTGGTGATATCATTAAGAACCTGTCAAATTCTGGCATGGTAACTTAATTACTATGGGGCCTGGGGTGTTTTCTTTTGCCTCACTGAACCTCAATTTCTGGCTCTGTAATTTGACCATCAGAAGAGCACCTACCCCAAATAAACCAAACCAAACCCACTGCCCTCAAGTCAATTCCAACTCATAGTGACCCTATAGGACAGAGTAGAACTGCCCCATAGGGTTTCCAAGGCGGTACATCTTTACTGAAGCAGACTGTCCCATCTTTCTCCCTCAGAGCGGCTGGGGAGTTTGAACTGCCGACCTTTTAGTTAGCAACCAAGCGCTTTAACCACTGGGCCACCAGGGCGCGTACCCCAAATAGTAAGGATTAAAGGTGAAGCATGTTAAATGTATGGAAGTACCTGTCTCATCCTGAATCCTCAATAAATGTCAGCTGTTTTTTTTTTTTCCAATTGGCATGTATAGCTTGTTGATCGTTAAAATGAAGAAAAAGGTCACGACAGACTCATCTGCTGACACCATGAATGCTTTCTTCTTTGCTAATTTGCAGATATCCCAGTGGAGCTGCTGTTAATCATCACTACCATTGAACGTCTATTAAATACCATGCATTGCACGAAGCCCATGTCTATAATTACCTGATTTAATTTTCACAACAACCCAGTGCGGTAGATTTAATTATGCTCCATTTTACAAATGAAACTAAGGCTCAGAGAAATGGGACTTGTCTCACACCTAACAAGTGGCTGAGCTGGTTTTCCACTTCTGGTGTATTAAGTAGTAGAAAATGTCGCATTTCATAAATAGCATGAGCCTGCATATCAGGCTGTCAAATGCTTATTTGTACTGGGAAACTGGAAATTGGGGTATTTTACTGTTCTCTTCATCTGCTTCAAATTGTTGCCTGTTACCCAGTCTTCCTAAAATATCTCCTATCTGAATCAACCATCTTGAGGGCTGAATTTGTGATTGACATATACAGGGACATAGGCATGTTTCAGCCAAACCAAAATATCAGGTGTCCCTCTCACTACCATTGCATCTGAAGCAGGAGTCGTCCAGTTCTTCAGAGCTTGAGGAAACCTGAGAAGGGTATTACTGAGATGGCCCAAGAACCAAATTAGGTTCAGGAAGAGCCATGATCCTAACAGGAAACACCCTGGTACCAGAGGCCCTGGTGAAGCAGCTGGTGGGAGATTACATAGCAGAATTGAGAGGAGAATGGAGAGCTGGACAGAATAAAAGTTCAAAAAATATTAGGGACTATGTGGAGCCCTGGTGGTGCAGTGGCCAAGCACGCAACTGCTAACCAAAAGGTTGGCAGTTCGAATCCACCAGCCACTCCTTGGAAACCCTGTGGGGCAATTCTGCTTTGTCTTAATAGGGTTGCTATGAGTCAGAATCAACTCGATGGCAATGGGTTTGGGTTTGTTTTTTTTAGGCACTGTGTGTCAACTAACAACAACACTGGGAATATGGGAGCAATAGTGGTTCAGTGTTAGACTTCTCGCCTTCCATGTGGGAGACCCGAGTTTGATTCCTGGCCAATGCACCTCATCCACAGCTACCACCCATCTGTCAGTGGAGGTTTAAGTGTTACTATAATGCTGAACAAGTTTCAGTGGAGTTCCCAGACAAAGACTGATTAGGAAAAAAGGTCTGGCGAATTACTTCTGAAAATCAGCCAGTGAAAACTGTACAGATCATAACAGTCAGATCTTGTTGTGCCTGAGGTCGCTGTGAGTTTGGGGGCCAACTTGATGACAGCTAACAACAACCACCACCAGGGACTGGGCAGGGGGAATTGGGAGTTATTGCTTAAGGGGTACTGAGTTTCTTTTTGAGGTGATGAAAAACTTTTGGACATGGATAGTGGTGATGGTTGCATAACATGGTGAATGTAATTAATGTCACTGAATTGTGCACTTAAAAATGGTTAAAATGGCAATTTTTTAAAATATGTACTTTACCACGATAAAATTTAAAAATATTAATGGGGATATATATATTTTTTCATTTAACAGCTTTTCAGCTAGAGGCAGAATTTTCAGGAATTAAAGTCACCAGATGGGGGATTCTCATCATCTTCTCAAGGGCTTTTAGCCGGCTTCTCAGTGCTCTGTGTCTGTCACCCTTCTAATTCCCATCATCGATTGTTCTTCCAATTTGTCATCCCCATTATCAGCCCCTTACCTGTCTCAGATGCTCGATAAATATCGTGTGACAAATGTGTCTGGTTACAAGTAACAGAAAACTCAGCAAACTGTGGTCTAAATAAGACCCTCCACCTCACAAAACAACAAAGCAGTCCAGGGTTTGTGCAGCTGCTTTAGTACATTCTAAAGAACCAGGCTCCTTTTGTCTTTCTGTTTCACCTTCCTTAGTATATCCCTCCTCATGGTCTCAAATTGGCTGCAGCACCTCCAGGTGTTGTGTCTCAGTTCCAGGCATGAAGTAGGGGAAAGGCAAAGGGCACAAACTTCTCTAGATACTTCCTTTTCTTTTGAAAGGGAAGCTCTCCCCTGGGACTTCTGCCTACCCCTAGCTGCAAAGGAGATTGGGAATTGTGTGCTTTGCTTTCCAGTCTCTGTAGTACAGAAAGGCAAGGGAGAGGAGAGTTGGTTGGAAGGGTATTTAGTGAGCTTCCTACAGTATTTGTCACACTGAGTTTAATTGAAATGTATTGCTTTGATCTAAAAAGAGTCCTTGATGTAGTCCCATTCTTGTCCTAGTACATTCTTACTCCTTTTCCCTCTTCCCACCTCCCTCCTCTAGCTACTTTCCTGAGGGATGAGGGGGTGGTTTTGAGAAAACACTCTTTTATTTGATCCTTTCTGTGAGGATACTAGTTCCCTTGTCACTCCTTCCTTTAAGGTTACTTCTGAGGGTGAAGAGGAGTCAGCATCCTCTTTGCTTCCCCGTTTTGTTTTTCAGACAACAGTGCTTTCAGGATTACTCAACAACCTATCTCCTTCCTCTTCGAATGTCTAAGGTCAGTCTCAAGGCCAGGTCCTCCATGAAGAATTCCACTATCCTTCCTCCTCTTCTCTGTCGACCTAAGTTTCCCCTTTGACACTCCCAAGGCATTTGAGTTGTACCTCTCTGCTATTTATTTTTCCCTGTTGAAGTTAAAACCCAACTATTGAAAGTGGTACTGTTTACAAAATATCTCGTGCATCATAGGTGCTCAAACTGGTGTCTCTCGCTGTTATTGTTACTAATGTCTTATCTCCTATATCAAAGTGAGGTCTTTAATGACAGGCCCTGTGATTCATCTTTGTAACTCACACCTGGTTTGGCCTAGAACATTGCTCATAAGACATGCCGTACCCGTGAAATAAAGGTGCGGCGAGTAAAGGGCAACATTCCAAACGAAGAGTACTGTAATCGTGGGATGTGAGACATTCCTAGAACCTGGGTGGGAGCCAGAATCTTGCAGATAAGTCCTCTGCCCCACCTGCACTGAAAACAGGTGAAGTCTGGGTTGTCTTTAGATTCAAGAGGACGCGAAGTGGCGCTGCTCCTGGTTGTACTGGGAAGAGATACGTGCATCCGTCACTCCACTTGATCCGGAAAGGGAGGAAGGAATGCTACCCGCGCGGCAATCTGGGATAGCTGCTCACGCGCAGCTTCCGGCTCCGTGTCTCGGGAATTATTTGACTCCACCACTTAGAACCTGCAGAAGTCTCTGATCACCTGCGCTGCGCACGCGCAGAGTCCCATTTTGCTTGGGGAGTTATTTGACGCCGCCGCCTCTGGCAGTCGGAAGTTGCCTGAGCAGAGCCCAGCCTGCCGGCGCGACCGGCCTTCATCGTCCCCTGGCGCCCTCCGAGACTTGCTAACGGGTGGACTGACCGACCGCCTGAGGACGGACGGCCGGGGCGGCGAAAGCGCCCGCCCCATGGCGCGGGTCGCGTGAGGCGGAAGGCCGAGTGCGGCCGGCGGCGGCGGTGGCGCCTGCCCCAGCGATGCGGGCCCCGCTCGTCGCCTCAGGTAACCAGGGGGCCGGCCCCGCCGCGGCCGGATCCTTTCCTCTTATCCCTTCTCGGCGGTACTAGGATTGCCGAGGCTTGTTTCTTGCCCTTGGTGCTCCAAGGGGCCGGCCTTCGGAAGCGCAGCCCCCCATTTTTGGGGGGACCCGCAGGGGGCGGAGGGAGCTTGGCTCTGCAGTTAGGCGCTTCTGTCGGTTCTGTGCAAACCTGGTCTAACCCATGGGCGTTGCCTAGGCCAGGCGAAGCACTCGCCAGGCCACCTGCGGGGAGCGGGGCGGGCCAGGAGGGAGCGAGAAAACTCCTGCGAAGAATTTTGGTCCAGCAGAAAGGTTGGTCGAGTTGCTGCCGCTCTGTGGGGACGATGCTGCCCATTGCACGTTGACACTTGATGAGGAAGAGTTAATGATGAGACTAAACAGCTAACACTTATTAAGCGCTCACTCTATATGCTAGGCATTGTGCCAAGCCATTACGTTCACTACATCTAACTTCACAGCAACCTTGTGAGATAGGATTATTGTCCCCACTTCAAGGATAAGGTATTTGAGGCCCTGAATGGTTAGGTGATTTATTTGCCCAAGGTCACGGAACTGGTAATTTGAACCCAGGCGGTCAGACGCCACAGTCCAAACTTAACAATTAGGTCAGTGGCTCCCCAACTTTGCTGCAAACTGGCATCACCTGGGGAGCTTTTATCCCGATGCCCAGGTCCTATAGCAGACCGATTAAATCAGAATGTCTGGTCGATGGAGGCTAGACATCAGTATTTTTTTAAAGATTCCCATGTGATTCCGGTGTGCGGCAATGTTTAGGAACCACTACAGTATGTAATTCTGCATCTCAAAAGACCTGGTCAGTGTTTCTCCAGCTTAAGCGTGCAGGAGAAACTGAGAGCTTGTTAAAAATGCAGGTTCCACCTGAAGAGATCTTTTCATTAGGCCCACCCATGTAACTTGTGAAAGACTGTTGAGGTGGGAGTAACTTTCTCTGCAGGAATTCTGAGACAGCTGGGCCTTTTAAAGTGTATACATATTATGCAAAACTGTTGGTTTGCAGTTTTCCTGAATGTACAGCACTCCTGGGTATAGTGTCTCTGGGTTTTCTTTGCATATGCTGTTGTACTTGAATCAACCTCCATGCTCTGTCCCTTCTCTCTCTCTTCCTTCTCTGGCTGCATAACTCCCAACATTCCTTTCCAGATGCATCTGTCCTTCACCCCTACCCACCTTGGGTGTTTCCTAGCTGCTCTTTAGCGTTATCGTAGTGGGACTTATCAGTTATTTTTCTGCGTTGTAATTCTATTCCTTTCTACTAGCCTATGAGCAACTTGAGAGCAGGAACCATGTCTTATTCATCTTTGTATTCCTCGCAGTGCTTTGACATGCAGACTCACAATTATTACTGAGTGGAATGTTTGAGTAGGTGGGTTTCATGCTGCAAACAGTTTCTTCTCTATTTCCATTTTTGTAAAAGATCTTCAGTAGTTCTTCACCTATAGTGTTTTGTTCTGTTTGCTCAGGAATATTCTAGTTACGTGCATTCAGTTTATTTATCCATCCAGCAGTTGAACAAACTCCTGCATTCTTACCATTGGCAAGGCACTGTGTAGAACTAACTATGTGCAATCAGCATTGCTTGATTTTTAGTGTCTAATTTTATCACAATATGCATTCTTTTAGTGCTTTGTCCTGTTTGTTTGCTAGCACTGCTATTTGATTATTATTTAATAAAATAATAGAGACAGGAGGCTGACTGAATTATATGAATGAGGAACTATGTGATCACTATTGTGGCTAGTGTGCTCTGTGAGAGACTTAGGTTTAAAGTGCTGTTTAATAATTTGAAGCCTTTTTATTGCCCTTATGTCTTTATATGTGTTCTCCATCTTGTCTTAGTTATCTAATGCTTCTATAACAGAAATACCACAAGTAGGTGGCTTTAACAAACAAATTTATTTTCTCACAGTTTAAGAGGCTGGAAGTCCAAATTCAGGGTGCTGGCTCTAGGGGAAGGCTTTCTCCCTCTTCCGGCTCGAGAGGAAGGTCCTTGTCTCTTTTGAACTTCTGCTCCTGGGTGATTTTCATGTGGCTTGGCATCTCTCTTTCCCCATGTTTGCTTGCCTGCTTGCTTGTTTAATCTCTTCTATATCTCAAAAGAGATTGACTCAAGACACACCCTACACTAATCCTGTCTCATTAACATAATAAAGACAACTCATTCCCAAATGGGATTATAACCACAGGCATAGAGGTTAGGAATTACAACACATACTTTTGGGGGACACAATTCAATCCATATCACACCTTCATTGTCCAGATAAGCGTTTAGTTGTTATCCACTAAGTGCTATTGCCTGGTTGGCACTTAGTAAATACTAGCAGATGGAATTGCTATTGATAATAGTTCATTTATTCAACAAAAGAGATGGCATGAAAAGTACTTAATGAAGATTAAAACCTGATGTCAAAGGAATAGACAAACTTGGTATGTATTTATTGCAGAAAGTCTGAATTGCCGTGCACAAAATATTTACAAGTTTTGAAGGAATGTAGGCCAGTAATTCAGATTGTATTTGTTTTTGGGTGGGCTTAAAACTATGTAAGGTTTGTAAAAGTGTGTGTGTGTGTGTGTGTGTGTGTGTGTGTGTGTGTGTGTGTGTAAAGATCATTATGAAGTGTTTTTTGGACAGTAAAGATTTTTCTGTAGCAGTTAAATATAATGAGTATGTGGACCAAATAAAATACACATTTCATATAATAGAGTTCTTTACAGTGTAAGGGTTGTTACAGAAAGAATTTTTTGGTTCAGTTTTGTACTCTGCTCAATTAGGCTGAGGCTAATATAGAAACTGATGGAACAATGCATGTTAAATTGAGATACTCAAGAAACTTGCCCTTGTTTCTCTGATCAGATACGGACAGAGTATCCAGTTTTGGCCTGGGCACATAGAAGAAACTCAGTCTGTAAATGTGAGATTTAAGTCTCCAGTCAACCCCCAAAGTTAAGGTGAAAATAACACATGCTCAGTTAAAGACCAAAAGTGACTGATCATGATAACCTGAGACCTAGAAATGGATTCTGATCAGTTTGAGGTACCTGTCAGTGTTAGCAGGTGTGTTCCTGTGCATGTGTGTGCAAAGGCCTTTTAGACAGGATACCTGATTTCCTTTGGTGCAAGATGATTACAGTATAAATGAAGAAAGTGGGTGATTTGCCTAAGGCTACATGGTTAGCTTCTAGCACACCCAGGAGTAGAAAGCAGGCATCCTTCCACTGGATGCAGAGTCTCCATCCTCTGCTCGCCTCATATGAGGATGTCATGTTTGTTGGTTTGTGTATATATGTTGGGGATGGGGAGAAGCGGACAAACGTGGTAGTCAACTATATTCAGTTAAATACGTAGTGAGTGCTTGGTATGTGACATGTGTTTGTTTTGTAAACTGGGGATATGAAGATAAATAAGACATAGCTTCTGCCCTCAAGGGGTCCATATTTTAGTCAGGGTTGTAATAAACGTCCAAGGTCTCAGGCAGCTGTGTCCAATAGAATTTTCTGCAATGATAGAACTGTTTTGTATCTGCCGTCCAATATGGTAGCCACTAGAACATGTGGCTCTTTGAGCACTTGAAATGTGACTAGTGTAACTAAGGAACTGAAATTTTAATTTTAATTGTAATAGTTACATGTGACTATGGCTGCCATATTGGACAGAGAAGCTCTAAAGGTATAAAAAATGAGAACTGTGATAGTACTGATGGGGGGCAGGTAGGGTATTTAAATTTTCTTTGGGGAGACTAGCAAAAACGACCCTTTTCCACTTTGGGGGGAGGAAAGCAGGCAGAACCTGTCTTTCTTTACTGTAATTCAGGTGTTTGATAGGATCTGTAACAGCTAGGATCGGAATACATTCCTTTTTTGCCAGACTTGATTGATGTTTGTCTTGTGAGGTCACCGGGATTACAAGGGAAATATGAACTCTGGTCCTTTTGCCTTTTTAAGTCATAAAGTTATATGAATGACCTTGAGTGCACCTGTGTGCCTTAAAATCCAGCGTCGTTCATTTATTTACTCAGTGTTTTGGCACCTTCTACCTTATTTTTCCTAAGAGAAACAGGTATGCTTTATAATGTGTACCTTTCATTTGTACATCTCAAAGTATGTTGACTTATGTTGCTTTATTTGATCCTTCTCCCAAGTAACTTTAGATAAGGCACTGCAGGTATTCTTCCTGTTTTACGGATGAGGAAACTATGACAAAGAAATTCCAGATGACTTGTGTGAGGTCACATGGTGAGGTATGGAGTCAGGAGAAAAGGAAGGAGCATTGAATTTCTAGGCCAGAGGTGGAATTTCTTGTCCCAGCTCTGCTGTTACCTGATGTGATCTTGAGCATAGCCTTACTTTGTTTCCTTACCTGGAAAATGTGGCTAGTGACATCTGTCTTACTTAACTTTCCAGGCTTGTTAATGGAACAAAATGAGTTAACATGTAAAAGCTCATTGAAAATGATCGGTTATACAAAGGTATATTGTTATCAAATAAAATCCCCAGTGGTTTTCTGTTATATTTTGCAGGTTCATAACTCATCACATCAGTTATGTTGGATACTGCTGTACTGTGGTGCCGTAACTGATTTGTCTTTCTCACTGTAAAACCTTCTCTTGGGCAGCCATTGTATCCTGTTTCTATCTGCGTACCTAAATCTTAGGACAATGCCAGACGAATAGTAAGTGTTTAATAAATGTTTGTTGAATGAAATAACTGATGTCTGGTTTTACTTTATGAAGTTTATAAAGATTGTTGTCTTTAATTAGACTTTCATCTCCTTGGGAACAGGGATGATGTTTTATTCTCTATTGTATTCCTTGTGCTTGGTGCATAGAAGGTATGTAATAAATATTGGTTGAATCAACTGATGTAATTAAGTGTCAGGCTGTGGTCTTAGGACTGTAGCATCCACCACTGTATTGATCATTTTGGTAATTTGTCATTTAGACCAGACCTACATGAACTCTACAATGGTGCCTTTACTAGCAGAAAGCTGTCAGCCAGCACACAGTCTCCTGAGGATCTCCTGGAGATGATTCCTAGAAAATGGGTACACGTAGAGTTGGGAAGGAAAGTCAGGGATCTGCAGGGGAGCACTGTCCTCTTCTTCCTTCCATCATGTTTACTTCTTAAGCATTGGAGAAAAAAAACCCGTTGCCGTCGAGTCAATTACAACTCATGGCGACCCTGTAGGACAGTATAACTGCCCTGTAGAGTTTCCAAGGAGTGCCTGGTGGATTCAAACTGCCGATCTTTTGGTTAGCAGCTGTAGCATTTAACCACTATGACATCAGGGTTTCCTAAGTATTGAAGGTAACTAGCAGCTAGCTTGAGAGCATACAGAACGTAGTGGGGGAGGAGACACATAGGATCCGTTGCATAGCTATCAAAGCCCTTAATCATTTGACTTCAGTTGTATGTCTATGTCTTCATATCTCGCTGTAGTTCCCAGCCCTCCCCCCGTACAATATATTAGCCCCACTGGAGTCTGCTGTTCCCCTGCCCCTTCAGCCTATCTGAGACATTTTATCAGAAGTTTAGTTCCTGTTGTATCATTTCTGTGTTAGTTAAACTTTCTCTCATTGCCTGCCCTCAGTTTTACTGAAAATTACTGCTCTCCCATCCTAGCATTCAAAGTCCTTAAATTGATCACTGCTTATGATGGCGTAGTGGTTAAGAGTTACCGCTGCTAACCAAAAGGTTGGCAATTCGAATCCACCAGGCGCTCCTTGGAAACTCTATGGGGCAGCTCTGCTCTGTCCTACAGGGTCTCTTTGAGTCGGAATCAATGGCAACGGGTTTGGTTTTTTGTTTATTTTTATCTTTGAAGACTTACCCGCTTCTACATATAGCCTTCTCTCTTGCCACTCTGGATTTTAGTTTCTAGTGCTGTTTTTTGCTACCTGAAGCAAGTGCCCTTTCTATATATTTTATTTTCTTCCTCTTGCTCTTATCTGCTTAGTTTTATTATCTCTGTCAAAATTCTCACCTTCCTTCCATGCCCAGTTCATATCCACCATACTCTATAAAATATAAAAGTCTCCTCCAGTCTTACCCTTATGTTTTCCACCTCAGACCGTCTTTCAGACAAAAGTAATCTTTCTCCTCTGAACCTTCACAGCATCTTGCCTGTAACTCTCTTATGGCATTTAGAACTTTAATATTCTACCTTAAGTTATAGTTATTTATGTACATGTCTCACATCCCCAATTAAACTATAAACTCATTGAAAACAGAAACTAAGTCCTATTAATCTGTCTTCTTCTGGGGCTTAATACCATGCATTGTACATAGTAGATGCGTCATAACTATTGAATAAGTCAACTTGGTAGTTCCTGCCAGTGTCTGAATATTCATATGTATAGGCAGAATGCTGACATATACTTATCAATTCTGCGACACAAAGATATATTAATAAAAATTTGTTACAACACATTGTACTAACAGTTCTGTCACTCAGTTAAAACTACTTGCATTTCTCTGTGATCCTTCTCATCTTTAGCCCTGATATGTTTATCTAGTTGTAATCATGATATGTGTTTTTCTCCCAATTAATTTATTGTTTACGGTGAACTAGGGTATGTTCTAAACATCCTTATATATATTGATTCTCTATTCACCACAATGACACTGAAGTAGGCACTCTTATCCCCATTTTACAGATGAAGATGCTCAGACACAGAGGTAAAGTAACTTTTGCAAGGTTACACAGCTTGCAGGCAGTGGAGCTGGGATTTGAATCTAAGAAGTCTAGTTCCAGAGCCCTGGCTCTTAGGCACTCTCATGCGTGTTTTTATGCTTTTATGTAATTTCAGTGTTTAATGGCTACATAATAGTACACGGAGTTAATATGCCCTAATTATTGGAGCTATTCCATTATTGATGGACAGTTCTAAATCCTGACCACTTCCCTATCTTATGTACAATATTACAGTGAACATTTTATACGTTTTTCTATTGAATTGTTTTATAAGGATAAATTAAGTGGTATTTTTGGGTCAGGTCACCCAGTATTACTGTCTTCTGCAATGTATTGGCACAACATTCGTGCTATCCTTGAGTAAACAGTTAGAGAAATTACATGTCAGCCTGAAGTGCCTTACAAGTGTGCCAATTTATGTATGGAATGTAGCTACAAACAGTCCCAAGGCAAATGGGATGCTAGGCAATCAAGGCACAGCAGTGGAAGCACTGTTCTGCCATGGTGCTATACTGAGTAGTTGACGCAGATATGGACATTCTGGCCCAGGACGGTCTAAGCTGCGCAGCAGTGATGTTTTCTGAGATCTCTGCATTTGTTATGTTGGACAGCCTGAACTGTACCAGCAAGAGGACGTTATTATTTGTGTATTTAAAAGTAGGCTGGCCACTGACAAAACTGGAACTAACAGAACCCACCCCACCTGTCACACCATACTCTGCCCTCGCCCTTTTTTCCCCAACAGCAACAAAAATGAAACAGAATGAAGTTATACGACTTGGTGGCTGTGATGGTTAAGAGCTCGGCTGCTAACCAAAAATGTCAGCAGTTCAGATCCACCAGCTGCTCCTGGAAACCCTGTGGGGCAGTTCTACTCTGTCCTGGAGGGTCACTATTGAGTTGGAACCAACTCAGGGCACCAGATAACAACAGCTTGGTTATAACTGCCCCCCACCCTCCTGCAACAGCAGAGGTGAGTTATGTAACTTCCCAGGGCAGCAATAGCTCGTCTATAGTTTATGCATCACTCCCCTCCTCCACAAGGATCGTGCTAATTCATTTACCAAAGCCAGTGTACGCATTTATCTTTCATCAGAGGCATAAATTGGCCCGCAGATGAGTTTTTTTTAGCTCACATTTGTGGAGGTTTTTCTTTTTGTTTTAAATTAGTTGCCAACATTTAAAGACTAAGAAACTTCACAGAAATATCTCAAATTTCTCATTTTCTTGAAAAATCTGATTACCTAGCAATACTGGGTCTAAATTTCTTCAATGTGATCTCGAGCTGAGTAGTGGCTGCACCCTTTAAGTAGAGCCTGTATTCTATAGTTTGCCACAGTTCTGACCCTGCCTACATCACTACTTGTTGCGTGTTTGATTCCTAGACCAATGGTTCTCCCTTCCCCGTTTTCAAATAGCAAATACTTGTAATGACTACCTTATTATTAGATTATTATTAGATGAAATTTGTTGTTAGGTGCCATCGAGTTGGTTCCAACTCATAGCGACCCTATGAACATACTTCTTAACTTGTAAGTAGACACAAACATCTGACTATTATATCCTCTAGTATAATTGTGCCTGAACACTTTTTATTGGACGGATTATAATTTGTTTTTCATTTGATGGAGTTAGGGTGTTTCATTAATTTTTTATTAATTATGTATATTGTTGGGTTATGTATTATGTATTTGAAATGAAATTAATGTATAATATAACCCAACAATACGCAGAATTTAAAATCAATGAAACACCCTAACCATATCAAATATATTATGTATTAGTCAACAGCATTGGGTTTGTTTTTTCTTAAGAAATGAAATTAATATATAACATAATCCAGCAATACACAGAATTAAAAAAAAAATGAAACGCCGTAACCATATCAAATGAAAAACATAAATTACAATCCTTTCAATAAAAAGTGCTCAGGCACAACAATACTAGAGAATATAATGAAGTGGTCAGATGTTTGTGTCTACTTACAAGTTGAGAAGACAGACAATATGTGACACTTTTTGTATTTGACATATTGAAATGTTCCTGATAGCAATGTGTTGTATTAGCAACTCCCAGATACCAGAAGTGGCATGCCCGTTGGTGGTGTCATTTTTTTTGAAACGGTGAACAATTCTTGGCAAGGTGAAACTGAACAAAATAAAGTGCAGTCTTTTTTCAGTTTACATAATTGTGTCACTGGGAAATTCAATGTATTTAAAATAGCACAAAATATTTTGTGTTTTTATGTAAGTTAGATTTAGATTTCTAGGCTTAGACAGTTAAACCTAGACTTCTAGGCTTGGACAGTTAGATTTCTAGGCTCAGACAGCTAAGAACAGAATGATTTTTTGGCAGACATCCGAAAGTCATGTGAAATGTAGCATAGTTGTTCATTGTGCAGGACTGTCTCTTGCATTGCAGGATGTCTGAAATTCCTGACCCTGCATAAATACCAATAGCCCGCCCCAATCATTGTGTTAGCAAACACACACTTAATGTTTCCAAAATGTCCCCTAGGAAGCAGTTCTTTCCTGTTGAAAATCATTGCCCTAGGCTCTTGATTGTGTCACCTTGGACTTACATCCTAATCAGAGTTGAATTTTTATTACTTGTTTTGCTAGTTTAATAGGTACAGAATAATACCTCAGTTGCTTTGTTTTGTGTTTCTTTGAGTTCTTTGTGTTTCCAAGGTTTTTTTCTTTATTATTGTTTTATTTAATATGCCTGTAATTATAATGTACTTTATCTTATTTTTTTTGTCCATCTGCACTTGGTTAAAATGTAGCATGTTTTTTCTATTACATATATTTTAATATTTTAGTTCAGAATTCTTGTTGTATCCTTTCAATGCCTTTTTACTTTACATATTTTGAAATATTTCTTATATTTTATCCAATTAGAAAAGTTTTAAAAAAGAATTTGTTATTAAACCTTTTTTGATTGGTCTTTCATAGTGTATTTTTAAAGAACTATATTCCAGTCTTCAGATTTGGGAGAGGTGGTAGCTGTTTCTTAAAAATGTAGGTTCTCAGGCCCCACCCCAGACCTACAAATTGAGATTTCTGGGGATGGGTCTTAGGAATCTGCATTTTCATCCAGAGCCCCTAGATGATTCTTTTGTGTACAGGGGGGTTTCAGAGGTAGCTTGTCTTGTTTTTACCTTCTTAAAACATTTTTTTTTTTTTTTTACTACAGTGGTGTGTTGTCTGGAAATGGATGCTTTTCTTTTTATTTCTTAAATATTTGGAAACCAACTAGATTTTGCTAATGTTGTTGTGTGCCCTTGAGTCTATTCCGACTCATAGTGACCCCATGTGACTGTAGAACTGCCCCATAGCATTTCCTAGGCTGTAAATCTTTACGGGAGCAGATCACCAGGTCTTTTCTTCCGCGGAGCTGCTGGTGGGTTCCAACTGCTGACTTTTTGGTTAGCAGCCGAGTGCTTAACCAGTGCGCCACCAGTGCTCCTTGTTTTGCTGATAACTAGCCTAAAACAAATGGACGTTTTTCAGTTTTTGTTTGTATGTGACATATGACATTTTGGACATACTTATAATGGAGTAGAGGGAACACCTTCTGACTTCTTCCACGTTGGTGAACCTTGACGTTCTGAAACATATATTTAATACACACTGTGTGCTAGTTGGTGACTGTTCAAAGATTCAGGAGGTTAGGTTCCCAGTCAGAAAAACTGATACTCTTGTAGGGCAGATATCTGCACGCAGCTAGCAAATCTAATGTGAAGCTTGATATGAACAGCCTGTTATAGGCGCTCAGAGCTGGGAAGGAGAGGTGATTTGAGGCGTCAAGAAAAGTCTTACCAAGGAGATTTGAGCTGGACCTTGAAGGATGAATACTTCTTAAGATGGATCAAGGGGGGAATGGCTTTTTCAGTGAGTAGGAGGAACATGAGCAGTGACATAGCATGAAAGAACTTGTTGGATTTGAGCAATCAGCAGTAGTTCTTTGTGGTCATAGCTTGGGATGTGCCTAGAAAAGTGGCAATAGAAGATGAGGCCAGGAAGGTGGTATAAGCAATTTCATTTAGAATTCTAGCAGAGTTTTGGTTTTTTTAATTGGGTGAAAGCAGAGGGAGTTTTCTGTCCAGATATCAAAATATGTTGTAAAGTCACTGAAACGAAATAATTGATATAACCCCCTAAAAAACCCATATATTATATATCCTATTTATTGTAAATCATTAACAACAAAAGCATTAATCATTAAATATTTTTCATGACCCAAAGTTTGGAAAATCACTGATAGAAGAGGTGAGGGAAAAGTCTTCTAGCCAGAACTCAGAATACAGAAGCTGTAAAATAAAGATAAACATTTGGCTAGAACAATGAAATTTCACTTCACACCTGTCAAATTGGCAAATAAATAAATAATGCCTATTCCTGGCAGTGGGAGAGGGTGAGAAGGAAGGGTTCTCATTCATTTCTAATGTAAATGGGAATTGTTACAGCTTTTTTTTGTGGGGGGGGGAAGCAATCTGGCAAGACCTATTAACATTAAAAATACATATGCCCTTTGATCCAACAATTTCAGTCTTGAAAACTTATTCCATAGAAATGAAAGGGCCACTGTTTAAGAATATATGAACAAGGATGCTTATTGCATCATTTCCTCATGACAAAAAATAGGAAATGAAGTAAATGCCCATCATTAGGAGATGGTTAAATAAATTATGCCTCATCAGTGCCATGGGATATTACATATCCATTAAAAAATTCATTGTATCACTTGTCTTGCAAGGATATTCATGAGGTATCATTGAATGGGAAAAACAAGATATAGAAAAGTGTGTGTAATATCTCATTGTTATAAGACAGATAATCCCTAGCTATGCATGCGTAGTAATTATTTTAATAATTGAACTAGGGTGGAGCAAAATACAGGAGGAAACATTAGATTATTAACTTGGATTGTTTATCCAGGGAAGTGAATTAATGTGGACCGAGAATAAAGCTAAATAAAGAATGAAAAGGGTGAAAAACTACACTTATGTAAGAGGGTATATATAGTTTGTACATATATATTATATATACTGTTTGCATGTTATATGTCGTGTGTGTGTTAATAAAAAAGGCCAAGAAAAAATGTGTGAGAAGTAGTTGTCTTCTGATGAAGATGACTCCCTATCAGAGCTTTCTCTTTTTCCCCCTTCCATGTTTGAAAGTGCTTATTTCAGGGGGACACCAGGACATCCTTGGGGGAATTCCTTATAAATCCTGAGGAAACTGAGGCAACTTTTAATAGTTGGTTGCGTCCACCCTTTGAATTCTAGATGCCTTGTTGGATCCTTCCCTTTCCCATGTCCTTTGGCTTACCGCTGATCCATCTGTCCTGCGTTCCCATTTCCCTCTTGGTCCAGAGGAGGAGAAGACCAGAAGATTGCCTTTCCTTGGCCTGACCCAGATTACTATGAAGTTTGAATAGGATCAGGATGAGGGTGGCGGGGTGGGTGGGTGGGGTGAGGGAGAGAAGGGTTTTCTCTGGAAGGAAAGAAGAAAGGTAGTTTGGCACCAGACTGCGAATGACTTTGACTTTCATGCTAAGGAGTTTGATCTTCATTCTGTAGGACTGTGATTGTCAGATGCCATCTGCTCTCAAAAAACACTGGTGTTTGGTGAGCTAGAATAAGGTGTTCTAGGATAATATAAACAATGCTAGTCTCTAGTTTGAAGAAAAATTAAGGGATAGAACCTTCTTCATACTAAGATGAATTGTACCCATGTATTCTGCTTAAACCTTGCTAGCTGGGCGAACAGATTTCAGAACCAGTGAACAGCTAGCAAATGGAAGTTAACAAAATCAAGTTGGAAAGGGCAAACTACTCTTGATTCTCTTCAAGGGTATGGTTTTTGTGGTTGTAATATTTACATAGCATTCCTACAGATAATGTTTTCAGCAGCTAAAATTCTTCATTTGTATGGCAGACTTAGCTATTTCATGGAGAATATGTAGCACAGAGAGGGATAGTACATGCCATGGTTAAGAGCACGGGCCCTGGAGCCCAACAGATACGGGTTCAAAACCCAGCTCTACCCTGTTATAGTGCTGGAGCCTCAGGTAAGAAGCAAACCTCTTTATGCCCCAGTTTCTTCATCTGTGGAATATGGATAACATTACTTAATACTCATAGGGTTGTTTTGAAGACTGTATGAATGAGTAGCATGTAGTAAATGCTTAGTAAGTTGTTACTCTTAACGTGTTTTCTAAAGAACATTGTCACTTTCATGCGTTCCACTATTGGGAGTTTGAGCACCACTGCTGCCAGGAATAAAACATTCTCAAAGGGTTTTGTGTAGTCTAAATAAAGTCTAATTTGAAGACATTGGTGAGAAATTGCATGGATATGTTCCTGGCATGTAACAGGTATTTAGAAACTGTTGACTGAGAAATCTAGGCACTATGGATGTCCTAAATCTGATCATTTTATTCCCCTGCACAGTGACCATCTGCTCCAGCTCTGCTCCAGGGCCTCTAAGGATTCTTTTGGGGAGATGCTCAGACAGCTCCTTCTCAGGGCCTGCCTTGCTACTAATGTCATCAAGGCTATTTTGGGACATTCCCAAAACGTTTAGATATGTTTTCTCCTCAGTCTTCTAGAGGCAGTATGTTTGAAGACTTCTTTGTCTTGCTATGTAGAGTGAATGTTTTACTTATTTTTATTAATTTATAGCAGTATAATTTGACATGTAATTATGTTTTGTCTTTTCAGGTGCCATTTGGATAATACTTTAGCGGCACAATGTACTCTGAGTGGAGGTCGCTGCATTTGGTGATTCAGAATGATCAGGGCCATACCAGTGTGCTGCACAGCTATCCCGAGAGTGTTGGACGAGAGGTGGCAAATGCAGTGGTCCGTCCTCTTGGGCAGGCCTTAGGGACCCCTTCGGTGGCTGGTAGTGAGTGTTTGTTAAAAACTGACAAAGAAGTAAGTGTTTCTTCATTTAATTTTGTTACGTGAAAGTATAAATTTGTTACTGAAGAGTTTGTTTTTAACGTTGACCTTTTTTATGGATATTTTACTCAATGCAATGTGATGCCTCATTTTTTTACCTCATTTAGCTTGAAGGTTGGGGCCCAGAGTTTGTGGGGATAATAAGGACTAGATTGTACCATTTTGCGGCTTGGGCTTCCTCTAGCCAGGCTCAGTTCTCCACTTGAGTTCTGTGCCCAAGAACTCAAGTGTCAGGCCCTTTCCCCTAAGGGTGGGCTCTAGGCTCAGTGTTCTGATTTCCATTCAGAGGTGTATTTGGGAGGTCTTCATTCCTACTCCTGAATGGCCTCTGACTGAAGGCCTTTCTTGTGTCAGGTTTTCAGGTTACACATATGTGCTGAGCTTGAGATCTCCCGTGTCCCCATCCCTGCCTGTTCTTACCTGGCTTTCAGGTTTAAGAGTGCTGCAAAGTAGCCAGACCCTTCTGATTATGAGCCCAGGTGGCAGGAACTGGGGTTGTGTCTGCTGCCTCTAAAGATAAGGGGTTCTTGGAGTGACTTGGCCTGGAGCTGGTCCTTTGTTCTTGGGTTCAGGGGACTGGGCTACAGTTGAGTTGCCAGTGGGAAGTCATGGATAGGACCTGAGAATAGCGTGATACAGGAGCTTGCTAGTATGAGGGCTGGTTAAGAGACAGGATTAGAATTTTGTTCCCTATGCTTGAGGAAACTCATGCAACCTTTAGACTTCAGGTTTATCAAAACCTATACTCTATTTCTCAGACCTTGATTTTTTTGTTTTGTTTTGTTTAGTTTTTGGTTTCTTATGAAGGAGAGATTAGATGTAGATATAAGACTGAAGTTTGTTGCTCTAGAGGTGGTTTATTTACTTTCCCTAGACCATGGGTTACTGAAGGGCGAAGCCCCCTCACTCTGAGGAGCGTTTTTCTCTCTTCTTAGCTGAGACGTAATCTTGTGACCAGCATGGTCCTGGCACACTTTTCTCTAGGTGTGTCTGTAGTCCCTGGCTTGCTTCTCCAAAGCGATGGCACTTGAGCAGATAGAGGTGCTCTGGTGTATCCCTTATTTATTCTCCTTACTCACCCTCAAAAGGATTTAAGAGAACAGTCCTTGAATCCAGTATGCTCTGGAATTATACACTTAGACTATTGTGTGCAGGTATCACCAAACACCTCTTTTGTCTTTCAAACATCTGACAACTAGGAAGCTGTGGCTTCTTAAAAATTCCTCTCCTCCTCCCCCCACAATTTGTGATAGCTTCCCTGTATTGTTATTGTCTTTTTTTTTTTAAACATTTATTGCTATTAAACCATTTATTTTTCTACCCTTAGCCTTTGCAGTTGTTTTTGAGCATGAAAAAGTCAATAAATGTATTTTATCTTGCTATATTCAACTTTGGTTTTAAGCTGTTGAAATCTTTTTGGATCCTGAGTTTCTATCCAACAAGTTAGTCATCCTTTTTATCTACAAATGGTCTGCATATAATCTTTTTTTTCTTTTTTCCTAAGTCAGAATCTTGGCAGGGCCTTTGGCATATCACTGGGCCCCTTTTTCTAAACTGTCTTGATACATTAATCCACTGTTATTTCTCTCATATGGTGTTTCAGCCAGTTATAAATCCAGTCATTCTACCATCCTTTGTGCCATATGTCTCCATCTTGTCCACAAAGACATCCTGCATCTGACCAAATTTCTTTTTGCTAAAGCCCAGATCCCTTTTTGCCAGGGAAGGCTGTTAATGGCATAGTGAGGAATAGCTTCAAATTTATAGTTGGAAGACCATGGTTCAAGTTTTTAGCTCCACTTTGTATAAACTAGTGATTTGAGCCAAATTACTTACTTTTGCTAAGTTTTAGTTTTTTTAATCCATAAAGTAATGATAGTTCCCCTTCTCACACTGGGTTATTGTGATGGTTAGATGATATTCATAAAAATGCTTCATAAACTGCAAACACAATACAATTATCAGCTGTCCTGATATTCTAACCCGTTGCCATCGAGTTGATTCTGACTCATAGCAACCCTATAGGACAGAGTAGAACTGCCCCATAGTTCCAAGGAGCAACTAGTAGAATTGAACTGCTTACTTTTTGGTTAGCAGCCAAGCTCTTAACCACTGTGCCACCAGGGCTCCGTCCTGGTATTAACACTATTAATAAAGGAATGAAGCTTTTCTGGCATGACTTGTTCTTTTGAGTATGTTGGTTCTCAGTGATCACGCTTCTCTTTTATAAGTGCTCATGGATTCTCTACTTAGTAATTTGTCCCAGAGTTTTGTCTGAAATTCACTTAAACTTTCCACTCTACTGTGTCTGGAATATATTTTTATTCTTTATGGCAAATTTGGAGTATTTCCCCTTCCTCACAGCATTGTACCCCTTCTTCATGACGGTAGGCTGTGGTTCGGCAATCTCTTCAGACAAATTCTCTCAGCTCCTAGGATGTGATTCAGACTAGTCAGGAGGCTGAAACTCATTTCGTGCAGCTAAGCGCCCTGTTAAGCTGTTACCCAGCTTCAGTCCCTTCTCATTTGTGTTTTTTCCTTCCTTTCCATTCCAAAATTATTTTCCTTGGCAGAGGTAAAATAAGAGTTGAACAGTTCAGCTCCCTCGTTGTCATTTGTTAACATTGCATAATCTGGAGATGGGATGTGATTGAATTTGTGTATACGATTTCCTCATGACGCACATACCTGTATGCAGATTAAGTGGGGAATAAGTCTAAAATTTTCTCTTTCTGCTCCTTCAATCTCAATGGAAGATCAAGATACCTTGTACTTAAACTTTTTATTTCACAGAGCAAACAATAATGTCTAAAGGGTAAAAGCTAACATATGCTTGATGTTTAAAAATAAGTAATTTTCTTCTTATCTTTTGCTTGGGAAACGTTGTTTGAGTATATCTGATAACATGGCAAGTACATTCACTAGAATAAATCTGATGTATATGTTGGGATGAATATACTGTCAGTCTAGAGATTTTTAGCAGTAAAAGAGGTTAAACGTTTTAAATCAGTCTACTGAGATACAGAAAGAGATGCGTGGTAATTCTATATGTATATTTTCCTTTGTTTAGGTAAAATGGACCATGGAAGTAATTTGCTATGGACTGACCCTTCCATTGGATGGAGAGACTGTAAAATATTGTGTTGATGTGTATACAGACTGGATTATGGCTTTAGTGTTGCCGAAAGATTCTATTCCATTGCCAGTTATTAAAGAGCCTAATTTATATGTCCAAAGTATACTAAAACATCTGCAAAATCTTTTTGTACCAAGGTAAACTATACCTGAATATCTGGCCTGTTATTAAGATCATAATAAAATATTCATAAACCTTTTTTATATTATAGGAGCTGATTTCATTGTTAGTCCTTTGAACAGTGACTTTCTTTACTCATCCAATTAAACAGTATATTAATAAGAGATAAGAGAGATGGGCTTATATAATATTTACCTTACTAGGAGTTTTTATCGGGTGTATGTTCATTTTAAAAGCTTTTGGCTTGTTTTTAAGATCTGATAGCTGTGACCTTTTTCCCTTCCATTTAAAAAAAACCCCAAAAAACAACAACAAAAAACATACTTTTGCCTGTCATAGTTCTTGTTTCCACTTAAGCCAAAGGCAGCTAAACCTTCTACCTTGAATCTTTTCTATGAGAGAATGAAAACATTGAAATGAACAGACTTGAAATTATTATGGACAAATTTGTAGGAGGCCAAAAGATACTTTTTTTTTCCCCATCTTTAGAGGCACAGGCCTTAAACATCATGATATAGGATATCTGCCTTGCTTGTGCTTAAAACATTGTTCTTCTGATTCTAAAATAATTATATGTCATTTTAAAGAATTTGGGAAACTATAAAAAAGAATGGAGAAGGAAGCATTAGCTTTCTACCCATTTGTGAGTATTTCCTATAAGAAAAATCTGTTTTCAGCTATCTTATGTCTGCGAAAAGGTCATTGGGGCTTGTCTCCTTTTAGAAAAATTGTGGTTTGAGCTTTTAGTCTTTCAAACTGTAAAGGACTTTGAATCACCCAGAAACCAGCTCTGTGAAGTTTAGCTTTTTAAATTTTAGAAGGAAGATTATTCTGGGAATTCTGAATTAAAAAAAAATAATCTCAGTTGCAAAATTCTTACCTTGCATGAAATGCCATCTGACCCCTAACCAGATTAAAGCAAAGCCAAACCTATTGCCACCCAGTCAGTTCTGACTCATAGTGACTCTATAGGACAGAGTAGAACTGCCCCATAGGGTTTCCAAGGCTGTGATCTTTATGGGAGCCGACTGCCGCATCTTTCTCTCGCAGAGTGGCTGGTGGGTTCAAACCGTCGACCTTTCCATTAGTATCCGAGCGCTTAATCACTGCATTATCAGGGCTCCTATCCTAACCAGATTAGCTGCTGCTAATTCTGCATGTACCCCACTCTTCAGCCAGGCTAATAAACATTCCCCTAAGTCTTTTTAAAGGTCTTCCCTATCATCCACCCTTTTGTCTTTTTCTTCCTCCTTCCCCTGGCCATCCATATACTTATTCTTGTTGGCTCATCTTAAATTCTGCCTGATAAGGAGAAGCCTTACTAGGTCTCTGGTTGGCGCAAATGGTTTGTACTCGGCTGCCAACTGAAAGATTGACAGTTCAAACCCACCCAGCAGAACTGCAGAAGAAAGGCCTGGCAGTCTGCTTTTGTAAGCACAAGAAATGTGCATTATTAGTGGTGCCCAAGAAAAAGGGACCAGTTCAAGGGAAATTATTGTGACATAAAAAAATGAATTGAAATGTGTATGTGTGTGTGTGTCTGTGTGTGTGTATATATATATATATATATATATATATATATATAAAAAGATTATAGCCAAGAAAACTCTGTGGAGTTCAGCTCTACTCTATAACATGTAGGGTCGCCATGATTTGGGGGCACCTTGAGGGCATCTCAACAACAACAAGGAGAAACCTTACCTGACCACTCAGGCCCTTAGTAATCATGCTTTCTCTGAACCTATGGTACTTCCTGTATTTCTCCACTGTTTTATTGCCTATCTTAAAATGTGTGTGTCTTGTTTCCCCATCTAGCCAATGTGGGGGCAGGGGCTGGGTTGCATATATTATGGGCTTCCACAGTACCTGGTGCAGTGCTGGTATTACCTTAAATATGAATTAAATGCTTGTTGCTTGTAATTCTCAGGTGGTCCACTTGGAAAGTGGGAGTGAGGGCTGGGGCTTGGATTTCTATTGTCCTCTTCAACCCTAGCCACAATGCTTTCATCATTTTTATAGATTGATTTTCCCTTGGTTAAAAATGGTCCTGCATACTGCAGAGAGTTTTAAAACTGTTATTTCAGGGTATTTTGGGAACCTCTGAAACCCCTGTTTTGGGTTAAGTTGCCGTTTTTACTAGAGCAGCGGCAGCAAGAGCTCATTTCTCAGGCAGTCTACACGCCTCGTCAATTCAGGGGCCCTGTTCGGATAGTCCATTGGGCTTGTAGGTTCTTCTGTAGCAGGCGTTAGTTTCAGAGAGACTGTGAGCACCATGAAACCACATGCAGAATTCTTGTGAAAGTGTGTTTTAAAAAAATAAAAACACAAAGGCCATTCTGCTCCAGTGTGAGCAGCAGGAGTGGCTATGGGTACTCATTCATTCAGGAGAAACCTATTGTGTGCTCTTTGTTATGTGCCAGACTCAATTCAGACATAGAAAATCCAGAGCTGAAGCCTACATTCTAGTATTCCCCTCTCCCCCGGGAGCTTTCCAGGTTCTGCTAGGAGAGGTAGATTGAGATCCCAGAGTGCCGAACTGTATGGTGGGGAAGAAGTAGTTTTAAATTGAAATGACGTGTCTAGCCCTGTCTGCTGACACTATTAGGGAGCTTCATCGGGACCACTGCTTGCTGCATCCCTAAGTTGCTTGTCCTTAAGCTGTTGCCGTATCTCCTCAAGGCTTGTCAGTGACATCTCTTTGTCTTCTTCAGACAGGAACAGGGCTCCAGTCAGATCCGACTGTGCTTACAGGTCCTGCGAGCCATCCAGAAACTGGCCCGTGAGTCATCCATCATGGCCCGAGAAACCTGGGAAGTCTTACTGTTGTTTCTTCTGCAGATTAATGACATACTGCTGGCTCCACCAACTATTCAAGGTTTGTTTGTTGTTGTTGTTGTTTCCTGATTTATTTCTAGCTTCAAACACAGTTCACTTTTAAACTCAATGAGTGATAGACTCATTGGGGATTTAAATTTTGGCACACCAAGGTTAACAATTCTTAGAATGGAAGTCTTCAAAGGCACAGTATGACTAGCACAAATGAAGTTATTTTACTTCATTGATGATTTTGCTAACATAGGGAGAGACTCAGTAAATTAATGCACATTTGGTAATTACAGGAGCAAGTAGCTTGTTTTGTATATTAGGATTCTATGTGTATGCAGCAAACAATTAACTAATTAGAGCCTATAGATAATGTAACTGATTATAGTTATCAAAGTAGAGTCTGAAAACTTGATAGCAACAGAAGATGTTTTGTTCAACAAATGAAATCTCCAGAGTCTTAAAGTATCTTATTTGGAAGTATGACAATATGTCATTTATTAGCTAGCCATTAAATGCGTCCAATTTTATAAGACTTTAGAGTGGATTTCAGAAGTCCTGGTTTCTGTGTTATAGCACACACAGTGTACATAAGTTGTAACTTAATATTCTGGTTGCAAGTTCCCTTGTTACTTATTCACCTGTGTCTCCTCTTCACTAACATATATGTGAGTGTGCTTGTTCTCTCACAGATGCAGTGTCCAGAGAAATATCTAAAAGGTTTCCTGGCATTTTAATGTTGAAAGGGATCCCATAATAGGTATTGCTAAGAGCTTTCAGTATTTAATTCATCAGCTCTTCTGCTGCATACTTCCCATGCCAGGGATGTCTGCAACACAGGCAGGCAATTCATCCCCTTGTTGGGCTCTTGTTGTGAAACTTTTTTTACTCGTTTGAAATATGCATCCTTGTAACTACTGGTCCTAGCTTTGCCTTCTGGAGCACTGTAAAGACCATTGCTATTGTTCTTCCTGGTTCCAGGGCTCAGAACAGAGGAACAACTCTCTTTTCATGGTCGAGGCTCTTGCCTAGCACCAGTGCTTGTGTTCTTGTCTTTGTTTCTCCTTCCCTTGAAGTGTGGCTTTCAAACACCTGGAGCATTTTATAGCAAAATTTGGAGGTAGAAACACCTGGGTACTTGTCCTGATTCTTTCACTTACTGACTGCATGAACTTGGGAAAGTTACTTAAACTTCCTGAACTGGTTTTATCATCTTCAAAATGGGTATAATTGATAATTGGTAATAGGTATTATCAATATCTATCCTGCAGATTAATGTGAGGATTACATGAGGTCATATGTATGAACTATTAGCACAGACACTGACTCATAGTAGGCACTCATTGAAGTCACTCATTCTTTTCCTTTCTTCCCTATGTGCCCTTTTCCCCGCCTTGCTCAAGGATTAAAATCGTCAATAAGAGCTGAGCAGGGCAACTTAAAAACTCTCAGAGTAATAATTTGCTCATGTATCCGTGATTTCCTTTATAAGAGCTCCTAAGCAGCGTGTCTAATTTTTACTATTAAATGGTTATTTGAAAGTCAAAACTTAAAGTTGCAGTTATTTTAATGTTTTGACCCATTCTCCCAAGTCAATTAAGGTTCAGCTTTTAAAATAAGTATGCCAAAGATATGTTTTCTTTTTGTTGGTAAGGTGGCATTGCTGAGAATCTAGCAGAGAAGTTGATTGGTGTTCTGTTTGAGGTTTGGTTACTAGCTTGTACTCGGTGCTTCCCCACACCTCCTTATTGGAAAACAGCCAAGGAGATGGTGGCTAACTGGAGGCACCATCCTGCAGTGGTGGAGCAGTGGAGCAAGGTCATCTGTGCGCTCACTTCAAGGTCAGTTATCATCCTTGACTTGCCCGCCTTCATCCAACCTTAGGTAGCTTTCCCCTTGTTTGGAATACATTGATAAAAGCTTGTGTCTATTTTACTGCAGTTTAGATATCATAGAATTGGAACTTTTTTTATAGCAGTTTGGTTAGTGCCTGTCTAATCTAAAACTTCAGAATATTCCAAGTATCTTTGAGAAATGAGTAAATTCTGCACCCTTTCCCCCCCAAAAATCTCACTCTTAATTCTGATTATTAAAATACGTGTATTTGTTATTTTAAAAAAAAACACACAAGTGGTTAGTTAAGTTCACCAGAAATCCTACTATATATGTTTATATATAATTTTACAAAAATGCGACCATGCTATCTATGCTACTTTATAACCAAAGTAGGCAGTTTTTTATAATAATTTTGCCCTTTTTTTTTTCCTTTACCATTTATATGTAATGCCATCAGTATACTGCAAGTAAACTGTTAAGGTTTTATTTTTTTCAGACTTGTTTTTTCATCTCAGCCCTAAACATTTTAACAAAAAGATAAGGATTCTTTTGTGAACATAATCACAGTACCATTACTAAGCCTAAAACAAAGTTGACAGTTCTTAATATCAATTATCCAGCCATGCACAAATTTTCCTGACTGTCTCAAAAAAAATTTTTCTTTTTACAGTTGGTTTCATTGAATCAGAGTGCAGAGTTCATGCATTGCATTTAGTTAGCATGTTTCTTAAGTCCGTTTTAAACTATGAGTTCCTGCTCTCATTTTTATGTCTTTGCAATTTTTTTGTTAAAGGAGCAGGGTTGTTTGTCCCATGGAGTGTTCTACATTCTGGATTTTTTTGGTTATTATCCCCATGTATTATTTAGCCTATTCCCCTGTCCCTTATAAACTGATAGTGAGGTCTAGAGACTTGATGTGATTCAGGTTTGATTTTTTGGAGGATGAGGGAGAACAAGTACTTTATACGTGTTATTTTAGGTGGTATTGCATATCAGAAGGTAGATTGAGCTCTTTTGGAGTTAATAAAATATTTATATCTTTGTTGTTACTTAAACTAAAAAAATGAAGCTTCGGAATGTTATATTTTGGTGTATCATGGTGAACGTTAATATAATGAATTTATTTTCAAATGACATGTACTTTTTATCCTGATTATAAAAACAATACATGCTTATACAGTGAAACCTCTGAGAACCAGAACTCGATGGGACTGCATTGTTTTTATGGGTCTCGCAAGTTTTCTGCCTTTGACAGAGTGCAGTCACCACTTCTCTATCACTCTCTGTTTAATGGAAATACTTCCATTTTCCTTATCTGATGGGTTTCCGCCTTACACAGATTCTGGCTTTCACAGGTTTTACTGTAGTAGAAAATTTGGGAAATACCTGTCACTTAGAGATAACTAATATTAGCATTAAAAATTTTGTTTTCCATTTAGTTCTTTTTTAAAACACAAGATTATTCTATATAGTACTGTTACCTGCTTTTTTTCATGTTCTGTCTCGTGCCTTTTTTCCATTTTTAAATAGCTTTGGGGATCATAGTTTTAATGGCTTTGTAGTTTTTCATTATATAAAGGGTCTGTAATTCATTTAATAATTCCTTTTTTTTTTTTTTTTAATTTATTTTGTTTCCAGTGTTTTACTTTAAAAATACCGTTGATATGAATATTTTATACATAGTTTTTGGGTGTATCTCTGATTATTTTATTAAGATATAATCCCAGATATAGGATAATTGGGTCAAAGCACTTTGAACAATTTTAATACATTTAAAATATTACTTTTAAATTAAGTAATTGAATAGTTGAATTACTTTTTTTAAAAATTTTATTTTGCTGTTGTTGTTGAGAATATATATAGCACAACTACACCAATTCAATAATAATTTAGTGATACTGATTACATTCTTCAAGTTGTGCAGCCAATCTCACCCTCTTTTTCTGAGTTGTTCCTCCTCCACTGACATAAAGTCACTGCCCCCTAAGGTTCCTGTCTAATCTTTGCAGTTGCTGTTGTCACTTTTATCCCCTATAGATAGTTCTTAAAAGAGCGTGATGCTCAAGGCAGACATTTTTTACTAGTTTAGCGAAACTATTGTTTGGTTTTAAGAAGACTGATGGAATGTTTTTGGTTTAAGTTTCAAAGATTATCTCAGGGTACTAGTTTTGGGGGTTCATCCAGCCCCTTCGGATGTTTTGGATGTCTGGAGTCCATGCGTGCTTTGGGTGGCCACTTGCAAACTTTTAAGATCCCAGGCACTATATAATGAACTAGGAGATAGAAACATTAAACACATTATTAGGCTAATTAACTGGGATGTCCCATGAAACCATGACCGTAAACCTCCAAACCAAGGAACCAAATCCCATGACGTTTTTGGTATACATAAACAGTCTCAGCAGCTACTTTTTTTCTTTTGTTGTTGTTGTAAAGAATTACTTTTTAAGATACGCCATAATTCAAGCTCCAGAGCATCATGTGCAAATAGATAGAAGTTATTATTACCAATAAATCATAGATAAGTTGTGCAAAGGAGTTTGCAGTGGGATAAATCTTAAAAAAAAAAAAAAAAAGTGTAAAATTATTTCCCTCCCTTTCCATTTTGTCTGTTTTACAAGCTAAGGTTTTTTTATATATCTTGATTATTTCAGTGAAGTGCATATGTTTTATTTTTTTAATCATATTTTAATGCTTGAGTGTCTCTTTCTCTTAAGAGGTTAACTTAATGGTGTGCTTTTTTTAATTTTCTAGATTGCTACGCTTTACATATGGTCCTTCATTCCCTCCATTTAAAGTTCCTGATGAAGATGCCAGTCTGATTCCTCCTGAAATGGATAATGAGTGTGTTGCACAGACATGGTTTCGCTTTTTACATATGTTAAGGTATTGTTATTTTAGTGTTTCACGTGCTGTTTACCCAGTGAGTGTCTTAGTGAAGGAACCATGCTGTAACTCTCTTCTGGAGTTCAGAATGTGGAGGCAAAGCACAATCCAACAAATGGAGCCAAATGGGACAACAAGCACATCTGTATCATATGCCTCCTGCTCTCCCTGTCCCAGCAGGATTAGGTATCCTCAGCTGCTCTCAGTCTGCTCTCTGGGAGCTTGTTCCCTGTTGCTGATGCAGCACTTGTTCTCTTGCCTGTTGCTGCAGCCTGGATGATGATATGTCTCCCAGGACTCCGCCATATTCTGTGGGGACTGCAGATTGCCCTGTTTATCTTGTGGCTAGCACTGACTTGGCAGTCTGGCTCTCAGGGCCTCTTCTCTAGTAGCCTTGTTGTTTAACATTTAACAGAGCAGTATACCCCAACTTCATCCTGCTATCCTTTTCTTTATAATAATTCTGTACAGTTCAGTTCCATCATTTTCTGCCTCTCCCACTGCTGGCCCTGTCCGTGTGCTCTGTGGAACATTTTTTTATTATGAACTAAGTTTTGATTCTTAAAATTTTTCTTAGCTTATCTTTTCACTGTTGAATTTTTCCCTGAGGATACCACTTTTTTGCCACCTTTTCAACTAGCGGTCATTCCTCCTGACTCTTAGGATAATAATTCTTACTGTCTTCTGCTGATTTCAGGCCATTTTTCGTTTTCTACAGCTAGAGAACTTCTCTTTCGCAGTACTTATTACTACTTTTATTGTTGTGCTTTAAGTGAAGGTTTTTAATTTAAGTTAGTGTCTCATACAAAAATTTATACATACATTGTTATGTGACCCTAGCTGCTCTCCCTATACTGTGACAGCACACTCCTCCTCTCCACCCTGGATTTCCTGTGTCCATTCAGCCAACTCCTGACCCTCTCTCCCTTCTCATCTCACCACTGGACAGGACCTGCCCATTTAGTCTCATGTATGTACTTGAGCTAAGAAGCACACTCTTCACGAGTATCATTTTATGTCCCATAGTCCAATCTAATCTTTGTCTGAAGAGTTGGCCTCAGGAATGGTTTTAGTTTTGGGCTAACAGAGAGTCCAGGGGCCGTGTCTTCTGGGGTCCCTCCAGTCTCCCTCAGACCATTAAGTCTGGTGTTTTTACTAGAATTTGAGGTCTGTACCCCACCTTTCTCCTGCTCCATCAGGGACTCTCTCTTGTGTTCCCTGTCAGGGCAGTCATTGCTGGTAGCTGGGCACCATCTAGTTCTTCTGGTCTCAGGCTGATGAAGTCTCTGGTTTATGTGGCTCTTTCTGTCTCTCGAGCTAGTACTTTCCGTGTGTCTTTGGTGTTCTTAATTCTTCTTTGCTCCAGGTGGGTTGGGACCAGTTGATGCATCTTAGATGGCCGCTTGCTGGCTTTTAAGATCCCAGACGCCACTCACCAAAGTGGGATGCAGAACAATTTCTTAATAAACTTTGTTACGCCGGTTGACTTAGATGTCCCCTGAAAGCACGTCCCCAGATCCCTACCCTCCTTTACAGTACTTATGGTGACCACTCCTATCATTCTTACTGTGATCATAGATTCTTATTGCTGTTCGATCTTCAAGTCCAATACTAGCTCCTCTTCCTTGATGATCCTGGCACCTGACTCTTGTTCCCCTGGTTCCAACCTGGGGATGCCAGTCTTCACTTTATTGACTTTTCTAATTCTTTAGCCTCAAATATTTGAGCTCCTCAATTCTGATGACTTTCTTCTCCATCCTGCTTTAGCTGCCTAGGGGTACTTTCTATCTTGTCCTCCATTGCCCGGCACTACTCTGCAATCTCATTTATTAAATAATCCTTCCTTACCTCCAGTATTTTGAAAAGCTTACTCTGAGCATAATTTGTTTTATCAAATTTAAGATAACTTAAATTTTAAAAAGCATCATTATTTTATATACTTTTTTTTGGCAAAAATATACTGCCAATTAATAGATAAAACACCATTAATTATTAGGTACATCCTAATTCCAGAGATGTTAAAATGTGACAAAATGTGACTCTTAAAGTTGATGATGATATGGTATTTAAGATTTTCTGTTCAGTGGGGTTTTCTTTTTTTTTTTTCGTCCTATTGGCTTGTATCTGTTATTGTATAAATACCACATTGGCCTAAGTTTTAGGAAACAAACTCTATTGCTTGCTGCCCATATAGGCATCCTTGTCATTCTTCTGGTATGACTAGCCCCATTTTTCTGTTTGTATTTTAGTGTTTCTAAATTACTCTGTTTGACCTTTTTATACCTTAGGGATGTTGACCATTTTCTATCTTTTTTTTCCAGTTTGTGGTTGTAGTTTGTGCATTTTAACGTTCAATGATTGCAGTTTTTGTTTTTGAAACTATATTTTTCTGTAATAATTTATATTTCTTTTAAGATTAGGATGCCTTTCTGTGTTCTTTGATCACATTGATACTCACCTATGATTTCTTCTAGTTTTGTTAACTTTGTGACAATAAGTTCTTTTCTGTATACCAGGCAGGATTTGAGTCTCATATTTGTCCATAAATCTCTTTATTTATTCTTGTACCAGATTTACACTTTTAATTATTTTATCTTTATAATAGCTCTTGATATTTGGTAGGCCTAATGCCATTTTCCCCTTTTTCCTTCTTTTAGAATATTTTTTAGCTCTTTTTGCCTGCTTAACATTTCAGATGAATTTTAGAATCAACTTGTCAAGTTACAAAATGGAAGCAAAGAAAAAAAAACCCACAAAACCTTTTGGGGTTTGGATTTTATATTAATTAGGGTAAGGCATATATATTGCTTTAGCAAGTGAACCCTAAAATCTCAGTGGCTTAGCACAGTATAAGTTTTGCAAATTCTTGGGTAGGGAGTGGCTCTGTTCACGTTGTCATTCGGTCACCCAGGTTGACATAGGCTCTGCCATCTTCAACATGTGGCTCCACTAGGAGCCTCTGCATCTGGCTAGCAGATGGGAAGAGACAGCATGAAATATTGTACAGGAGGTTTTTATGGACCAAGCCTTTAAGTGTTGTAAATCATTGCTACTCACGTTCTGTTGGCCAAAATACGTACACACAGCCACACTTAATTGCAAGGGAATGTAGGAATTGTAATCTTTCTGTGTGCTTAGGAGGAAGTGAAAAACTGGTAAACAGGTAGCCAGACTCTGCCAAAGATAAGAATTGTATTAAGCCTGTATTTATATTTAGGAAAAAATTATTTTAGCATACCGAGGCTGCCTTTCTAAGAGCCTTTTTTTTTAAAAAAAAAGAATCTGATATGTCTTACAGGAGCCCTTGTAGCCTAGTGGTTAAGAGCTTGGCTGCTATCCAAAAAGTCCGGCAGTTCAAATCCACCAGCTGCTCCTTGGAAACCCTATGGGGCAGTTCTACTCTGTCCTATAGGGTCGCTATGAGTCGGAATTGACTCGACGGCAGTGGGTATGGTTTTTTTTGGTTTATGTCTTACAGAAGTGTTCTGTAGTTTTCTTCACAAAGATCTGCATGTTTCTTAATCGTTATTCTTAGGTGTTTATTGGTTATGTTGTGAAAGGTTAGCTTTTTTTTCTGCTGTTAAATCTTCTAAATGAAAAGAAAATTTTTCACTTTATTTTTGCACATATATATGGGCCCTTAAAAGAGCTCTGAGTATTTTATGGACACATCATCTGCAAATAAGAATTATCTCCTTCTAGTGGTTCATATGCTAGTCTGTGGTGATTAATTAAAAGTGCTTTTGGACGCAGCAGACCTGGACTTGAGCTCAAGTTCTGCCACTTTCTTTCTTTGTGAACTGGAGCAAACAATTTAGTCTCGCCAAGCCTCAGTTGTTTAATCTGTAAAATGGGGATAATAATAGTAACCATCTTTTTTATAAGGATTAAAAAAGAAAAAGCATGTAAAACAGTGTATTATCTAGTAAATAGTAAGTGCTTGAAAAGTTGTAGCTGCTATTAATATTATTTCTGTATATTATTTTACTGCATTAGTCGGAACTTCTCGAACAGTGTTGAATTAATATGATACTGTTTTGACATCCTGCTTTTATTCTGATTTTACTTGGACTCGCTCTTATATGAAATTTTTAGTAGAATGTTGATTGTTGATATTAGTCATTCTTTTTGTGTTCCTGTTTTTCTAAATTTTCCTGGTTCCAAATTTTTAAATAAAACAGGAATGGATATTGATTTTTTTCAGATCATATTTTAGAATCCATTTAAGCAATCAAATGGTTTTTCTTCTTTGACCTATTGTTAATTTATTTCCTAATATTGAACCGTCCTTCATTCCTGAGAGAAAAGTTCTGCTTGGTTATGGAATGTTGTTGTGTGCCATTCAGTCAATTCCAACTCATAGAGACCCTATATGACAGAGTAGAACTGCCCTATAGGGTGTCCTAGGCTGTAATGTTTATGGGAGTAGATTGCCAGGTCTTTTCTTCTGCAGAGCTGCTGGTGGGTTCGAACCGCCAACCTTTGTGTTAGAAGCTGAGTGCTTAACGGTTGTGCCACGAGGACCACTAGGTTATGGAATACTATTCTTCTGATGTTTTTCTGAATTGTCTCTAGTTTTAGTTTTTGACTAATTAGTGCTTTGGGTGTTAAAAAAAAAAAAAAAACCCAAACAGGAAAATGTCTATCCTTTTCTGTGCTCTGTTGCAGTTTTTATAGCACAAAAGTTATATGTTCCTTAAAAGTTTGAAATAAATCACTTTGGTCCTGGAGTCTTTTTTGAAGGTAGTTCTTAGACAGCCTTTCCTCATTTTTTCACTCTTAATTGATCTCTTCAGGCTTTATCTTTTTTCTTGAGCTGACTTTAGTGAAGGTCAAGGTATTTTCATCAGGCTTCCTTTGGATGTAAGGGATAGAAACCTGCTTATGCGTACACATGAAAAAGAGGGGTAACTATATGATAGGTCTCACTGTACTCTAAGAAGCCGTGAACAGCCAAACCTCATGATGGATATGGATTAAGAGGCAGCCTTGGGACAGACGAGCCACTCTGCCATCTGTCTCTCTCTGGCTTTTCTTGTGCATCCACACTGTTCTTTCTCCTCAGGCTTATTGAGTACTTGTTTCCTCCTGCCTTTGGTGGACATGCAGCCCCATGATGATTGCCTAGTGGTGTAAACAGCTATGATGTGATATGGCTATTCAGTCTAGCCATTCCAGTTCACTGGGACTTTCCCTTTGCTCAGATTCTCAGAATAGATAACTTGGATCATATTATTGTTAGTTAAGCTACATTAGTTGTAAGTCACTAGCAGACATCTGAATAGTCTCCTTTTGGGCAGTTTGGGTGGGCGGCAGGTCCATGAGTGTTACTCAACAGGGGCCACTATGGTCATTGGCAGATTTCCTGGGAAGAGGGCTGAATATGATGGGGAGACAGGATCCAAAAATTTGTCCAGTATGGTAATGCTTTATCTTTTTCCAGGAAAAACAAAACAAAAAAAAAAAATGTTTTTCGTTGACTTTAACACTACTGTTCTCAAATGCTTGTCTTTGGACTTATTTTTGCATGGCCACCTGTATAAGAATTACTGGAAAGATTGTTAAAGACACCTGTCCTCCAGGCGCCACCCAGATATATTCTGTTTCAATGAATTTAGATGGCATCTGGATTTTTAACAGACTCTTCAAGTGTGTCAGATGCACAGAACTTTGGAAGCTGCAGGAATGCAGTTTTTGTTACCTGTTCCATGTCCTTTGTTACCCATTCTCATTTCAAGTTTTATTTATGTTTTAGAATCTATTCTCTGAATACTTGCATGCTGAGAAAATCGTTTCAGGTTTATATCTGGAGGAGCGAGTGTAGCCTTCCTCTTCTCAGTTCTTAGTACCTACTAGTCATGGATCAGTATCTAGTAGACATGAGCTCTGGTGGATTGAGGTGTAGTCTGTTCCAACCTTTCTACCTCGTTTTCTCATTTCTGGACAGATAAACTACAGTCCCCAGCAGACACTGCTAGTAGAGCCTTCCTGTGTCTATCTCACATGACTTGTTTATGGAGACCATGTTCTCTGAGTCTCTGGATATAATGTACTGCCACCACAAGTCCATTTTCCATATATGTGCACATGCTTTCGCTTCCCCACTTGAAATACTTGAGATTAAGAGTCTTGGATGGACAGAAAAAGAGGTTTCAAGGGGCAGAGCATGTGTAAACCACTGATTTATATTTCTCAGCCCAGTTCCATTGGCCTTGTACATGGACATTCCTTCCAGGTATTGGCTATAGGTTCATTATCAATATTACTTTGAATTGGAGAGGCTGTTTCATGGACAGTCAAGCAGATATCATTCTGAGTAGAAGTCTAAAATTTTTAAATATTTAAAATTATTTGTACATAAAATAAAACTCAAGCCCAAATGCATTGTTTGGAAGTATATGGCTTTAGTACATAACACATGAACACAACATAAACTGTAGCACCAAATCCTGATTTTCATATAGCTTTTTAAAAAAATATTTAGAAATGCTCGTGTTGTTGTTAAGTGCCATTGAGTCAGTTCCAACTCATAGCAACCCTATCTATGTACGATAGAACAAAACACTGCCTGGTCCTGTGCTATCCTCAAAATCATTGTTATGCTTGAGCTCATTGTTGCAGCCACTGCGTCAGTCTGTCTCGTTGAGGGGCTTCCTCTTTTTCGCTAACCCTCTATTTTACCAAGCGTGATGTCCTTCTGTAGGGACTGGTTCCTCCTGATAACATGTCCAAAGTACGTGATACAAAGTCTCACATTCCTTGCTACTAAGGAGCATTCTGGCTGTACTTCTTCCCAGACAGATTTGGTTTTTCTTCTGGGAGTCCATGGTGTATTCAGTATTCTTCGCCAACATCATTAATTCAAAGGTGTCAATTCTTCTTTGGTCTTCCTTATTCATTGTCCAGCTTTCGTGTGCATATAAGGCAATTGAAAATAGCATGGCTTGGGTCGGGTGCACGTTAGTCCTCAAAGCGACATCTTTGCTTTTTAAAGAGGTCTTTTGCAGCAGATTTGCCCAATGCAATATGTCGTTTGATTTCTTGACTGCTGCTTCCATGGGCATTGATTGTGGATCCAAGTAAAATGAAATCCTTGGCAACTTTAGAAATGCTAATAGTAATGTAGAATTTTATCCTTGGGTTTTATGTTGATTTATTTATCGTTTATCATTTTATTACTTAATTGCAAACATATTAGAAAAAATATCCATGTATGCTTTTACTTTAATTCTTATTCTCTGAGTAGATAAAGTACATGTAAACACACTGCAGATCTTTTGTAAAGAAGTGTTGAGGTTTGAGCCCCCCACAGATCAGTCTTCTCTCTGAATCAAAGAAATAGGCACAAACAGCCCTGTTTTTAAATTAAATTGCATACATTTTATTGCTAAAGTAATTTCTAAATGTGTAATTAATTCTTCTCTCTCTTTTGATAGTAATCCTGTGGATTTGAGTAACCCAGCCATTATAAGCTCTACTCCCAAATTTCAGGAACAGTTCTTGAATGTGAGCGGAATGCCTCAAGAATTGAATCAGTATCCCTGCCTTAAGCATCTGCCTCAAATATTTTTTCGTGCCATGCGTGGAATCAGCTGTCTAGTGGATGCGTTCTTAGGTGAATTTTGTATATGTTGCTAGATGTTTAGAGAGCTACATTTATATAACTCCAGAGTCTACTCTTAGAAACGATTACGGAAATCATTAATGAAAAGATGAACAGATTTGATTACAGATAAACTAGGAAAAAATATTTGCAACAGATGTGATAGCTAGAGAGTTATTATTGTCTTTATATAAATAGATCCAACAAACTACTGAGAAAAAGATCGAAATCTAGTAGATAAATGGACAAAAGATATGAATAAATGATGTGTAAGAGAGGAAAGTATTCGTTCTCACTAGTTATCTAAGAAAATACAGATTAAATGTATTAGGTACCATTCTTATCTATATCACTAGAAAACAAATTATAACATTGTGAACCTCTCTTTTAAACTATCACGTTTTAGAAATATGAAAAGTCAGAATTTTTTTAACCCATTAAAAGACATGATATTTAATATCTACTATTTTCTAAAACATTTGTTACATGAATTTATTAATACATTGCACAGTTAATATATTAGTTAGGGTTAAGTTTGGCTGCCAGATAACAGAAAACCTCAAATACCAGAATCGACTTGATGGCAATAGGTTTGGTTTTTTTTTTTTAAAAACAAGATAGTTTCTTTTTCACACACATTAAGTCCAGGGCTAGGCAGTACAGGTTCGGTATAGCAGTTCTACCACTGTCAAGGACCCAAAGTCCCTTTCATCTTGTGGCTCCCCGTCTTTTATGCATTGCCTCATGGGCCAAGATGATTGAATGAATCCCAACCATCCTGTTCAGGAATTAGGAAGGAAGGAGAACCTACTTCTGGTTGTCTAGTTCTTTTAGGAGATTTCTTGGAAGGCCCACCCAACGATCACCCACTTTTCTCTGGTCAGAATATGGCCACATCTAAACTGCAAGGGAGGCTTGAAAATGTAGTTATTTATTCTGGATAGCCATGTCCAGCTAAAATTTGTGTTCTGTTACTCAGGAAGAAAGGGCGAATGGATATCGGGAGGCAGCTAGCAGTCTCTGCTATATAGTCTTATCTGTACTGAGCCTTCACTGGTGTTGCTTGGGGAAGATTTTCTGACCACATATTTTGAACTATGAAGAATAACTTCGTTTGTCTTTTTTTTAAGGCATTTCTAGACCCCGATCAGACAGTGCTCCCCCAACACCCGTGAATAGATTAAGTATGCCTCAAAGCACTGCTGTCAATACCACCCCACCACATAACCGGAGGCACCGGGCTGTTACTGTGAATAAGGCCACAATGAAGACAAGCACAGTAAGAGTTTTTGTCACCATTGTTATGCTGCATAAGGTTGGCTTTTAAATCTGCCATCCTTTTGAAAAAATCCTGCCATTTTCTCAAACTCTTCATGGATGTGTGGGTATTCTTGTGTTCTTCCAATAGGTTAGTACTGCTCATGCCTCGAAAGTTCAGCACCAGGCATCCTCCACCTCTCCTCTGTCAAGTCCAAATCAGACTAGTTCAGAACCCCGGCCACTGCCCGCCCCTCGGAGACCAAAGGTTAACAGCATCTTGAATCTCTTCGGATCATGGTTATTTGATGCAGCATTTGTTCACTGTAAACTTCATAATGGGATAAACAGAGACAGCAGCATGACTGGTAAATATTGCTTGAGAAATATGTTGTCATTTTTTTCTTTTTCTTTTTTTTTCTTTTTAATCTTTCCTACCTGCAAGATTAATACGTATCTTAAAAAGCTCTCTGTCTCTGACCAAGCAATGTCTTGTGCTTAACCCCTTCCAGCTGAAGTAACAGAACTTTGGAAGTTTTCCTACCTGTCCTTTTCATGTATGTTCTATGAGGTTTGGCCTTTGGTCTTGTTTTATTAGACACATTTCAGGTTTGCCACTTTTTGTTGAATCAGATTCCTTTCAGTAGGTGACCTGGAAGTTCCCTTCATGTCAGCCAGGGTAATAATATTGATATGCGAAATTAAAAGATTTTGACTGGAAGTTTACTCACAAGAAGTGTTTTTCTTATTTTTTGACAACCATTCACTCGTGTAAATATCAGTAAATTTCTGCTTCACAAAAGACTTTAACTTCTGGAGTTTTCCTCTAAAGCCCAGTTCCTGCCATGTTTATTTCAGGGACACACTTTGAAAATATCGTTTGCTTTGTAACTTAATAAGCCTAGTAGAGAATTGTATTAACCCTCATGCCTTCATTTAGATTTTATTGCAGAAATGCAATGCTGTGTAAATAAAATTTGATTTCTTTTTGCCATCTTACCATTATACTTAGAGGTGGTGGCATAGGGTAGGATGAAAGGGTGGGGTAGTGCAGAATTTATTGAATATTTGTGACATGGCATTTATTGAGCTGCAATTACTGTATGTCAGGCACTGTGCTACACACTTTACAAGCATTAATGAGTGTTTTGGTTGTTTGGTAAGAAAGCACTTTTCCACTGAGGTTGTAAATAGATAAAGATAAAAGGATACCGGAATTCATTAGTTTATGCATCTCTAGGGAGACTGTTAATTCTAAGAGCAAAACTTAACTAATTTAGTGGCCACAAGAGTCTCTTCTTTCTCTCAGAAATGCATTCTTTAGGTATTATGTATCATTCTTTAGGTATTATGCATATTTAGGTATTATGTATCAACTTAGAACTAGGGTTATATGTATGTGAACATAAGAAACAATTGTTTTGGGTGTTACAAATCTTTAAAACAATTTAGAAAAATTATGAGTATAGATGTTTTCAGGAATATAATATGAGATTGAATGGTTGAGTTTAGGAATCCCTTTGCTTTATTTTGTCCCGATTCAGACACTTTATAAAATTCTTCCATTTCCATGTTATGATTTTATTTACAAGTTTGAAAGTAATGCTTACTTACAGAGAAGTAAATGTGTTTACTTATGATGACTAAATGAAAACTTAAAAAACTGTTTTTGAATTATATTTTCTTTATGTTCATGTATCTTATACTTTGAGTTTTCTGAACCGTGTTTATATTAATTTGTACTGTATTTTTTAGAATGAGTCGGTCATACTTTTATTTTTTATTTTTATTAAGATGTAATTCATAAAATGTAACTTCCAGCTGCTGACACTAAAATTCCTGAATCCAGAATGGCTCAACCTGCTGCTTTGTTAGTAAGCTTGCTTAGAGGGAATTTATGGATCTTTTCACTCCCTAGGGAGTTTGTAACAGCTTTGCTCACTCTCTTGCACCAGAAGATAGAAACCAGAATTCAAATGATACGTGGGCAACAAATTCTTACTTTTTAACTCCTAAGATTTTCCTTGGTGGGAAGGGAAGAACAGAAGCTTCTTTTCTCCCCATTGTGTTCAGAGATGATGAAGGCTGTTACAATACCCAGGAGAAATTAGGTGTCAAAATAGTTGTAGGGGTTAGAGTGCTGTTGGATGCTAATCTTGAGGTCTTGGGTGGGGTGGGAGGTTTGGGGTATACTAACACTGTTAGTTTGTTTTCTAAGTACTGGCTGTCATCAAGGACTTCTGCCATGCAGTTCACCTCTAGCTTAAAATGTTTGCTTTTTTTGAACTGGTTAGCTTTAGATTTAAGTGACACCACAGTGTGCTTTATAAAAAATAATATTGAGCTGGGAAGGGTTAATGAACTAAAATTTTAATGCACGTTATGGCAGTTCAAAACCTCAATTCTTTGTAGTTGTGTAATTTTCTTTGTTCATTGTTTTGCATGATACAAAAATCATAATTTTGGACCTGAATGCACAATTTCCTATGTTTTTGAACTAGCTTGCGGTATCATAAAGCTTTTAATTTAACTTTTAAAGAGCTAAAAAGCTTCTTAACTTACTGTAAAATTACACCATCTTTAAAGTATTTTATAATTACTGCTGTCCTTTGATTTGTTTCCATTTATTTCTATTATCTTGCAGCATCTTTTATCCAAATTCTTCTTTCTTATAAATCTTGTAAGTAGGAACCAGAAGCTTCTCCTTAATTGCAGTCATGTTTTTATTTTTTTCATACTTCCATTAAAAAATTTGATTGTCATTGTCTCTTGTAGTTTTTGCACTTGGGAAGGAAAATATTTTTCTGTGTTTTGAATGGGGAAGATTATTGGCAAAAGCAAATTAATCTGCCTGAATCAGTCCCATTATTTCTGTACACTAGTCTGGTCATGTCATGAATTCCAGGACTTTGCACTAACTGTGTTTTGGCTTTTTTTTTTTTTTTTTTAAGCTTTAAGCTTATTTTTATACAGATTAGTGTTTGATTTGTATGCATTCTGCATGTAGTGTTTTTCAGATGTATTATTGCTGGATAGCTTATTCAGGACTAAAAATGGCTCATGGGAAGTTGCATAAAGATTTATGCTTGACTCTGCATTCTATTAAATCGATTAATACAGAATAATTTAACATTTCACAAAGAGCGATGAAAGATTTCAGAGTGATTTTCAATACACTGTGAAATCTTTTGTTAAAAATAAAAGCAACTCTCGAAGGGCTTCTGTTTCAGTGACAACAAATGACCATGGTAATCTTTTTTACCAGTCCGATTTTCGAATTTATCAACCTCAAGTTAGCTGCTGTCTGTGGTTGTTAAAATTCATTCTCATTTTGCTTGGTTGAGCGATTTTTTGATGTGTGTTTTGGAGTTGGGTGGGGTGGTGGGAATGCTCTCTCTTCCTCCCTACCCATTCCTCATCCTTACCTTGCCCTCTCCTAAGTATACAAACTGGCATGGGATTGCCCATTCATTTATGATGTTTGTCTGGAGTAATGTGTAAATTGCAGTAGCTGTTTTTCTTAATGTTTAAACAGCATTCTATAGGGGAGGAAAAACAGAAAATAAATAATAGAAAAGCCACATTCTGTATTATATATCTGTATATGAATACAGTTATATACAGATGTACTCTGCTGATCAAAAATTCAGTTGAAAAATGCTTCTTGTAGAATCTGTTAAACTAACAATGCCACTGTGAATTAATTGTTACCTATTTTAAAAGAAGGTTTCAGAGAGCCCTTTAAAAAATATTAAGACGCAGTTGCTAAACGAAAGCATTATTGGAGTCTATTCAAGTAGCTATTTAATGACACCAATATTTGATCTTTGTGTCCAGGGTCCCATGAGCCTATTTGGCATATTGACAAATATAATAAAATCCTCCTTTTCTCTCCCCAGCCATTACAACACAAGCTAGCATGGAGTTTCGACGGAAGGGGTCACAAATGTCCACAGACACCATGGTTTCCAATCCTATGTTTGATGCAAGTGAATTTCCTGATAACTATGAAGCAGGAAGAGCTGAGGCTTGTGGGACACTATGTAGGATTTTTTGTAGCAAGAAGACTGGAGAAGAGATTCTGCCAGCTTATTTATCCAGGTCTTAGAACTTTTTTGTTTGTTTGTTTTTTCATTTATATAGTTTTCATAGTGAAACTTGTCACATGGCTTGGGTAGGCTGAACTGATAAGTAAATGTTGCTCTAAAATACCTACAAATGTCTGTAAGTAATTGAAATTTTTGTTTGAATTCCTCCATTTTTACCTGTCTCATCAGATTTGGTAAAGACCCCAAGACACTTTTTATTTTAGAAGTAAAATTTGACTTTTTTTTTTTTTTAATTGTACTTCAGGTGAAGGCTTACAGAACAAGTAGTTTCTCATGAAACAGTAGTACACACATTGTTTTATGACATTGGTTAACAACCCCACAACATGTCAACCCTTTAACTTCTCAACCTTTTTTTT